ATCTGTTTCTGAATATCATTCTCCTAATGAAAGGAATCAGGGCTTCTTAGAAACATGGTTGCTTCCAAGGTTGCAGCATGGAAAATATAAGATGAGCTTAGAACATCTTGTGATGCCAGAAAATTTTTAAATGCTCAAGAAGGGGGGATGGCAAAAAGACATAGAACCCAACCTGAATGAGCTCCTAATGACCAAAGGTGAGACACCTGGAACAACAAAATAAATAATGATGGTACTGGATTAAAACCAATATAACAAATTTCATATTCATGAGTTCATAGTAATATAATTAAATAGGAGAGAAAGGACAGTGTTTCCTCATAAAAGAATTCCAATTAACACAGACAAAAGAAAATAGAAAATCATCATTAAGCAAACATGGTAGTAATAATTGTTGCAGACAAGATCCACTAACAAAATATTAAAATTGATAGGTGAAAAGTTGAGGAGAAACAGGATGTTTACCAGTTAACATGAGAAAAAAAAGTAACTTTACTAGGGAGTAACCTGGTCAACAAAGTTAGTGTACCAAAAAAAACATATTCACATCATGAATCCCTTCACATGATGCACTGAAAAAGACATAACATCACTGCTGTGGTCTTCTTTCCAAAAATGCGTAAATCTCACTCTAATTGTGAGAAAGCAACAGACAAATCTAAACCAAGAGATATTCCACTAAGTAACAAAAAAGCTTTCTCCAAAAGTGTCAAGGTCATAAAAAACAAGAAAAAAACTGAAGTATTATCAAGGGTTGGAAGACATTAAGGAGAAATGAAAACCAACTGTAACCTGGGATCCTAGAACGGGTTCTGAAACAGAAAAAGGACATTAGTAGGTATAGTAAATAAGGTCATGTGTCAACTTGGTTGGGCCAGGTTTTGAGTGGCTGGGCTGTTAGATACAATTATTCTCCACGATCAGACTGGTGATCAACTCCATGATAGAATCTATTGTGAGCAGCTCAGTAGCTGCCTCAGGGATGTGGGCTGCTTCTAGCATATAAGAAGATTTAAGAAAGGTCTTGAGCATTTTGGCACATTTGGACCCTGCCAATTCTTCATTCAACAGCCTGCCATGTCACCTGATGATCTTGGGACTATTTCTGGACTTGAACTAGTGGCCTGCCATGTTGCTTGATAATACTGAGACTAAACCATTTCACTTGTTGACCGTGGATTTGTCAGCCTCAGCAGTCAGCAGCTGCCTGAGTTAAGAGATGCCTCCAACTCCAGTGGGCCAATCGCAAGAAGCAGTGCTGAAGCCCAAGGCTGAGGGGCCATCACCCAGCTGACACTTTGAACTCACACTTCTAGCCTCCTAAACTGTAATAAATCCCTGTTTGTGAAAGCCACCCATGTGTGGTATTTTCTGTTAGAGTGGCACTAGAGAACTGAAATTGTAGGAAAACATAAAATTCAACTTAGGTCTGCAGTTTAATTTTCTGAAATAATGTTCTGCAGCAACTTTAATTCCCTGATTTATTAATTATACTATGATTATGTAAGATATTGACATTAGGGGAAACTGGGGAAGGGTATACAGAAACTCTGTAATATTTTTATGACTTTTACTTAAGTCTGAACTTACTTTAAAATAAAAAGGTTTCTAAACTTTTGAAAAATATATTATTCAAAACATAATGAGCTTAGCACAGAAAATAACATGGAAAAAAGAAACCCCATGATAAAACACATCACAAAATGACAGCAACCAATTCATACTTGTCGATAATTACACTGAATGTTAATTAATTAAATGCATTACTCAAGAGATGGAGAGTTGCAGATTGGATACGAAAACAAAATCCATCAATATGCTGTCTACAAGAGACACACCTTAGAGACAAAGACAAAAACAGACTAAAAATCAAAGGTTGGAAAAAGATATATCAAGCAAATGGCAACCGTAAAAGAGCAGGAGTGGCAATATTATGATCAAACTAACTTTAAGACAAAAAACACTACATAAGACAAGGAAGGACATTATATAATGAATAAAGAATCAATTGAACAAGAAGATATAACCATAATAATTATCTATGGACCCAATGAAAGAGGCCCAAAATACATAAATCAGACTTTAAAAGAGGTGAAAAGACAAATAAATGACTCCACAGTCGTAGTGGGAGACTTTAATACACCACTGTCAATGAAAGATAGAACAACTGGAAAGAAACTCAACAAGAATGAAGAACAGCTAAACAATACAATCAACCAACTTGACCTTATATACATCTACAGAGCACTTCACCCAACAACAGCATAATATACAATGGAATAGAATTGAGAACCCAGAAATAGATTCATCCACTTATGGTAAGCTGATCTTTGACAAAGGGCTGAAATCCATTAAATGGGGAAGAGAATATTTGTTTAATAAATGGTGCTGGCAAAACTGGAGATCCATTTGCAGAAAAATGAAACAGGATGTGTACCTCACAACATACACAAAAACCAACTCCAGATGGATTAAAGACTTAAATGTGAAACCTAAAACTACAGAGCTCCTCAAGGAAAAACTAGGGGCAAATTTAGGGGTCCTGATATATGGCATAAATAGACTATCAAGCATAACCCAAAATGCATAAACAGCAGAAGAGAAACTAGATGAATGGAACCTTCTAAAAATTAAATTTTCATGTGCTTCCAAAGACTTCTCCAAAAGAGTCAAAAGAGAACCTACAGATTGGGAAAGAATATCTGGCAATGACATATCTGACAAGGGTCTTATCTCTAGAATTTATAGAAAACTCTAACAACTCAATAACAAAAATACAAAAAATGCAATTTAAAAATGGGCAGAAGACATGAATAGACACTTCACGAAGGAGGATATTCAGGTGGCCAACAAACATACGAAGAAATGCTCATGATCATTAGCCATTAGAGAGATGCAAATCAAAAAAACGAGATATCATCTGGCCCCAGCACTAACAGCAAAGTTCAACAAGACAGAAAATAACAAATACTGGCGAAGATGTGGAGAGATTGGGACTCTCCTACACTGCTGGTGGGGCTGTAAAATGGTACAACCACTGTGGAAAATAGTATGGCGATTCCTTAAAAGTTGGAATTAGAAATATCATTTCATCCTGCCATTCCATTACTAAGTGTATATCCTAAAAAAGTGAGAGCCATGACAAGAACAGACATATGCACACTCATGTTCATGGCAGCACTATTTACAATAGCCAAAAGATGGAAATAACCTAGGTGTCCATCAACTGAGGAATGGATAAGCAAATTATGGTACATACACACAATGGAATACTACACAATCCCAAAGAATAACGCAGAATCTGCAAAACACCGCATAATGTGCATGAACTTGGAGGACATTATGCTGGGTGAAATAAGTCAATCACAGAAAGATAAATATTGTATTAGTCCATTATTGTGAAAGTCAAGGAACAGTTTATATATGGAAGGAAATTTTCTTTGTTGGTTATCAGGGGTAGGAGGGGAGGGGAGGGAACACTGTTAGATAGGTAGAGATAAGCACTGATTTGGGTGAAGAGAAGGGCAATGTACCAAATGTGAGTGATCAACATGGTGGCAATGAGGAAGAGGAAGACATAGAGAGGTACATGGGAGGTGCACACAACAAAGATGAACCCTTTTATACATACAGTACTGCGTTTTCAGTGAAGGTAAACACGGGTATACGGGTGGATAGATGGCGGGCAGGCTGAACTATTAGGTATTTCTATGCAGCAGGGAGTGTACCCAAGACCATGTATAGGGTTGGCAGATAATGGTTCTACAAGTGTATTTGTATGTTCTTTAAGAATTCCCAGGGGTATAGTAGAGCTGACAGGGACAGGTTGTAGTCACTTCTTGGTCACAGCCAGCTATCCAAAGGGACCAAGTAGTTGAACCTGTGGGCTCAGAACCATAGTCCCAGGGGACATCAAGCTCAATTGGCATAACATACTACACAAAAAATTGTTTCACCTCCTACTGTGGCGAGTAGCGACTGGGATCTTAACAGCTTGCAAGCTGCCATCTAGATGCAATGATGGGTCTCTCCCCATCCAGAGCAAAGAATGAAGAAAACCAAAGATTCATGGAAACAATTAGTCCTCGTGACCAGTACACCAATCCACAGCCTATATGACTATGAGACCAGAAAAACTAGATGGTGCCTGGCTACCACTGTCAATCACTCAGAAGGGGATCTATGGAGGAGATCCTGGATAGAGAGGGAACAATGTGCAACAAAACTCAAAATCATTTGGAGGAAAAAAATAAAAAGGGACCAGGTTTGCTGGTCTCATAGAGCCTGGTGGAACCACTGAAACTATGGCCCCTAGCTGCCTTTCAGGTCTGGAATTGA